TAGACGGATTATCCGTCTATTTATATCCGTCCGATTATCCGTCTTTATAGACGGATAATCGGACGGATAAAAATAGACGGATTATCCGTCTAAAGTGAACACCGTTCCGTTTTCACACTAAGACGAATTATCCGTAATGGACGGATAACCCGTCGTAGATGGATTATCCGTCTCTAGTGTGAAAACGGCCAATCCGTCTCAGTGTGAAAACGGAACGGTGTTCATTTTACACGGATAATCCGTCTATTTATCCGTCTAAATAGACGGATAATCGGACGGATAAAAATAGACGGATTATCCGTCTAAAATGAACACCGTTCCGTTTTCACACTGAGACGGATTATCCGTGCTGGACGGACAACCCGTCTTAGACGGATTATCCGTCTCTAGTGTGAAAACGGCCGGTTATACGTCTGAGACGAATTATCTCTCTGAGGCGAAATATCCGTCTGAGACGAATTATTCCGTTTTTTATGTTAGAGACGTTTAATTTGCCTGGACACTTTTAATGTCTGAGCATAGTTAATAGACGTTAAAGGAAGCGGTTTGCGCCTAGAAAATCAACCCGATCGGCATAACCCTGGTAAATGCCTGATTTCCAAAAATGCCCGCGCATTGCGCTGAAAACGAGCGTTTTCTAACAGCATTTCTAAGTCCGCTTATTGGCACAACAGCTAGTGATGTCTCGATCGGAACCGGCCGCGGAAAAGGCTTTGGGTCAAGGGTCAATTTTCTCTTTACCGAGGGTGGTACGGTCAATGATCGGGACAAGGGAGCAAGGCGAGGTCATCAAGTTGTCTCTGTTGGGATGGGGTACGCATTCTACAGATAATTCATATCCTTCAAAATGCGTCTTGAACGACCCACTACGAGAAATAGTTCGTCTAGACGCATAATAAGTCTTGTGCGCGTCTTTTCTCTATAGTTTAGTTCATAGTTCTATAGTCCAGTTCATATAGGTTCGTTCTACAGAGCCCGGTTTAACAAAAAACCCAGCTGAAAGCGCTTGAACTAAGCACGTCTCTTATTGGCTGATTGATTTACAGCCGACCAATAGCAGCAGTTGTCATATCTAAGTTACCAGGAAAGTTTGTGGATTTCAAAAATGGCGGCGCGCGTAGACCAGACAGTTTATTGAGTTTTTTTCACGATCACGGAAAACGTTATCTAATTCCTTCGCAAATAGTGGATAAAAACCACCATTAGATATTCTTTCTTTTTAAAAATGCCGCCTTTAGACTGGGGAAGAATTATGCGAGTAGATGTAGAGGTACTTCGAGAAGACGTCGATGCAGCTGATGACATATACGGCGTCTTGGAGATGGTAAACTACAAACATTCGCTTCGTATCGATAGTTGTTTTTAGAGTTTAGCATACAGATGATTTGAAATGACTGTAATTTTCTCACAATATAAGGGTTCAGTTACTCCGGACTCGGAGGAAGCTGTGGATGTTAACAAGATGATTAAACTGTTTGAGGTCACCAAGACTGTTATGAAGGTATGAATTTGCGGGTTCTTTACTTGTAACTAACAAATTAATGCTACATGTAGTTTTTCAGTCATCTCGTACTTTTGACAAGCATTTCGTATCTCCTATTAAGTCTATTTGCAGTCTTTCAAACAGATCAAAACTTTCTGTTGAAAAATGCTTATCGAGAATTGATTTAATTGATACTATCTCTACATAAGCTTATGTATCTAATAATTAACAGGTTAAATCATTACAAGCTGAACTGGCAGCTGAAGAAATGACTAAAGGTGGAGGCGGAGAAAGAGGTACAATTCGTAATTAAGTGTTTATTGTTATCATGTCCTGAATATTCTCGATCTCGCTATACAAAATAAAAAAAAAACCGTAGAATTGTTTTATAATACTCCAATAAAGGGTTTGTTCTTTGTAATGCCAAAAATACAAGATCAACAAAATCATGTCAGTGTATTTGACTCTTTAATACCTTCAGTGCTGGTGGGTACTTGCAGCAGTTTAACCGTGTATTTTTCTTTTAACAGAGCAGGAATTAATCGATGAAATTACCCATTTAGAACGGGAAATTCAGCAATATAGGGTGAGGTATTTTTTTTCTAGACAATGTTCTATGTTGAAATATCCTAAAATTCTCTATAACAAGTCCTGAGTTTGTACTTGTTCACAAGGCTATTTTTTTTGGAGGGATATGGGGAAGGGCACTGATTAATTTTCAAGATGTTTAGTTTAATATTTGGAAGTGGTGTAGTCTGTCAAATGGGTGACAATGCATAAGTTTTAACATAATACTGCATTATAAAACTCAGACTAAACATATAAATGTCTTCAGCGCAAAACTAGATCCTCAATAATCAGGTTATTATATTAACATCACAAGTCTAAAGGATAATACCTGTAGTTGAACCTCCCATAAGTGACCACACAAAATGTCAAGTCTAGGTGGTTGTTTACGGGAGGTGGTCACTTACGAGAGCTTATCGTATTGGGCCAAAATTTTGTCTCATCAGCATATGGTAACTACAGAGACTTTTAAATGTTTTATTCATGCAAAAAGTCAATTTCAAGATAAACTCTGGTACTTCCCATTAAGAAATCTCTGTCTCTAGTACAACTCAGGAACACGATAATGTTACCACATCATATTATCCAATTTCCACTCTATCATCTGTCAAGTGGCTGCTTACAAGAGGATAAAAACAAAAGAAAATTTGAAACTTTTAGCTCTAAAAGTGGTCGCGGTTGCTTATGAGAGGTGTTCGCTTACAAGTGGTTCCAAATATAACTGTGGCCGTGTTTTCACAAGCGGTTTTTCAGATCGCTTAGCGAGTGACAATCGTAAATCCCGTGAAAACAGTTACCTTTTCAACTTGCTTAAGGTTACACTGTAAGTGAGTCGGAAAACTTCAACGGAATTCTCATTAAATTTAAGCCACCAAAGCAGGTAGCTTAAGTGAGTTGGTAATTAATTTCGGCCAATGAGGAGTTTCTTGTGGTTATTCATGTGACAGGGTTGTCAAATCAAAATATAACAGCTACTCGCTTCTTCACTGGAATCGCCCACGAGTCTGGTCAAAACATTTAACAAAATTGTAGACCAATAAAATGGAACATTTGCCCAGAGATACAGAAATGTTCGCGCCAAATGTTACCTGCATGGTGGTTTTAAACCATATTCTCAAACCAGAATTGTGGCCTTTCAAGCACCCACGTGATTTTTCTTCTACAGCATATTTTTCTCTGTGAATGATGAAAATATACCTCCGTTACTCTTCTCCTGCCTCTAAGTGCATGCAATCTAGGCCTTTGCTGAAATCGGTTCCTTCGTCGGACGCAAACTAATCGCATAACAATGGTAATTACAGGAAAAAAAACTTTAATACAAGCTTCGTTTGGATCTCCCGCCATGTTAATCAAACTGATTTACTGGTCAGTGCGCTGTGCTCAAATTATGTTGATGAAATTT